ATTTGATTTTTATACTTGATTTATATGTGGATACCACATTTCTCTCTTTATTATTATTATTTTTAATAAAATGCTGAAGTGGTAGGTAGATACAAGATAAAAGTAGAAAACATAGTTTAGTGTTGTAAGAGAGCAAATGTAGATGATCAGGTGTGTGCCTGTAGACTATGTGCTAATCCAAGCTAGACAAGGGCATTGAAACATCCACGGATGCAGAAGCTTTCTCTCAGAACACAGTTTCTTTTTTAAAAGCTGTAACAAACAGCATGCCAGCCAAAGGTGGACATGCGTCAATGACTATACTCCCTAGGTGCGCTGTATACTTTTAAATGAGACTAATTGTTACTTCTATGTGTTCTGCAAAAAGGTAAAATTTATTTCTGGAGATCAGCTGTGTATAGTAGAAAGTACTGTTCTCAAAATACTTGTTTGGATATGCTTTCTAATAATGCATCAAAGAATTCAACAGCGTTAATCAAAAGAAGGGAGGGAAGAATCACAGGTAGGCACTCTGGGCACTGTACTTTATACAAAGCTGGCTGCTCGGTTTCTGGTACCCAGCAGGGATCAGTATATGCTAGCCCACTGTTAGGAAAACATAGATCATGAAGATGGAAATGAAACTTGCCTACTCCCAGGCTGCTATGTTTCTGTTTATAAGAAAATTCCAAGTAAAGTATCACATAATTAGAACTCAATAAAAATATTGAGACTAGATACTGGTTAATTTAAAAGGGAGAAAAGTATTTACGTCTGTTAGAGACACTTAAAATGCAAAAGGTCTGCTGAATCTTAACAGGAAGGCAAGCACAAGTGGCAGTTTTAGTTCTCTTAGCAAGTTAGGAAGAAATGAAACACAATTCCTGCCTTCCCACTGAAGGAAGCACAGGGAGTGGTGTCAGCTGGGTACCATGGAACAAGTCAACTGACCTTCTTAGGGCTCACTTTCCTCATCTATAAAATGGGTGTAATACCTTGAGGGACTGTTGCAGAGATTAGGGAACACATGCATGTACACACTCACATACACATGCACCCCATTTGGTGGAGGGTCTAACACTCAATAAATGTAGAGGCACTGTCAGGATAAGCTTTGTTCTAGAACTGAAAGCAAGCCCTGTGTTAAAACAACTCTGGAAACTAATAGAACTGAGGTGCAACATCACCATACCTTTTCCCAGGCTTAGGACTGGATCTAGAATATTGTCAAGGAGATATAAAATGACTTTAAAGATTAGGGAAGAAAACAACGCAGAAGGCAGGGCAGGAAAGGAAGCACGTGGAGACAGGCCTGCACTTACGTCGCTCTTCCTTGTGCCTCTCGGTCTCTGCAAAGTACTGGCGGAGCTCCTCGGTGATCTCCATGTTGCTCAGGTCGCATTCCACTCCCCCATCTGACTCGCTCTCCATCTCGTCCTCTGCTAGCCAAGCTTGGTCTCTTCTTGTGCTATCACGTGGATGCTGCCTGGCTCTTCTGGGACCTGAATGCCCATAGCGTGAGTTCTGAGAGGCCAAGTGATGGTCATAGGAGGACTGAGCAGATCTACCCTTGTAGGCGTAAGAGCTCTGGGGAAGAGCTGAGGGAGAGAGGGGCCACAGGCAACTGAAATAAGACTCCACGGCCTTCTGATAGGCGTGCTGGTGCCTTTGCATCCAAGCCATGGCTTGATGATAATGCTGCCAGTATCTTGCATACACTGGATGAGAAAACCAAGCCTCAGTAATTTTCGATGATGATGCCTACAAAATAAAGGGAGGCATAGGCTGGATGCCACACAGTTCTAACAAGAGAAATCCTCAAATGTTTAATCAACTAACCAACAGGTATTTACTGAGCATCTCCTAAATAGCTACTCTACATCAGGATGCTACTGGGCCAAAGAGAATACAGGACAGGTCCATGCCCACAATGTGCAAGTGGATGCACATTTGCTCTGAAGTATGTGTACATGAGGTACGCACAGGACAATTAGTTTAAGATTAAGGCCATTATAAAGTAGGGACACAGGCTGAGAACTAGTATTTTTAGTTAAGATGCAGGGAGATTATGGACCCAAAGTCTATCACCATGGCCTTCTTTGTCCACTGTAATTCAGTGACTAGTTTCAAGTTAGAAAGAGCCTGCCAAGAACCACATGGACTAAAAGCATGGTATTCTCTGGTCTCTCTCTCCCTCTCTGCCTCCTAAATACCTGTTGGGCTGGCCTACTCCTCAGTGCCTTTTAGTTTTCTGACTTACTTCTTTGGTCTTCTCCATTATACGATGAGAACATGAAGACCATAAAGGCTAAAATTTACCTTTTTCTTTAATGAGTTAAAAAAAAACACAACTTACCTTTGTTGCCATCTCTGAGTATGAATATCCAAATGGGCACTGAAGCTAGGAAAGAACAAGCAAAGCACAAACAGGTGAGAACAGGGGGCGACACTCAGGGAGGGCTATTCTCTGGTTTGCAGAGCAGCTCCTCAAAGGTTGCTTCCTCCCAGCACCATGCCTGATCTTCATGCAACATGCCAGCATAGGGCCCTGGCACGGATTAGACTTTGTGGTGTAAATAGGAGGGATCCTCTTAAGTATGATTAAGTGGCTCAAAGGACACTGCATTTTTCAAGTACTCGTTTCCCTATTGAAAACAAAGTCTATGGAAAGAACCATATAAACAGTTAATAGTTAAGTATGAATATACAAAATAATACACAGAACATGAATAAAAGTGTTCAACTTCTACTTTTAATGTACTAATCCATAATAACCCAGGCTAATACCTATTTAAATTAACTCTGGAAGTTCCTGAGGCTTGACTAGACTAGAGTACATTTGGCCAACTTACTACTTAATTTTTTCTCTTAATATAAGTTCAGAAGTTGAGAGCTACTAAAATGCCAGCCTATACCAGAATGTAGTTTAAAAAAATATCCTAAATTGCAAGAGCATTTAAGCACCTGTGAGATGAAACCACTAACATAATGTGATGTGGAGCAGCTACTTGAGTTCTGAAACTTTGGAAATCAAATACTGAAGGAGCCCTATTTTTTCTTACTAAATTGTAGGGTAGAATTGAAAAACCTTCCCAAGCCTTAAGAAATAAGCTTGACTTATTCTGTAATCTCTATCAGATGTTTTGCTATGCCTAATGTGGAAATCTGAGATGCTAAATTGATCACATCTTTTAACATTTAGCCAAAAGAGAACCATTCACTTTCTTTTTAAATATAATAAGCTTTCAAATACGGTATTTCCAAGAGGGTGGACATGACCTTCTGTACATTTACCTGAAACTTGGCTCACACTTCCTGTTCCCTAGTCTAAATTCAGAAACACACAGACATGCAGTGAATGTAAACTGGAAAAAAGCTAACAAATGCAGTGAAAATGTGAGTGTAAATTAAGTTCACATTACTTTGAAACTATAATTTAAAGGTTTAAAACATGAGCAATTATCTGAAGACCTGGCTTACTGCTATGTGCTTTACAGGTTACTGAAGAGATATAAAAGTCAATATAATTAAGGGGCTAACCAGCCAGAGAAATAAAGCTACCACAATGAAATTATGATAGAGATCAGTACATACTTGAGTGCTAAACTGTTAGGTGCAGCCTTTAAGTGGCTAATGCATTCTAGCCAGGTTTCAGATTTCTATCACTGAAATGTGAATAGCTTTCTGAGAGCCGGCAGCACATAATGACATTAATGTGAACTCTATGTGTACCTTAATCAAATTTGTTTTAGAGATTAACAAGTAGCATAGGAATTAAATTAGAAAAGTCTACATCTGTGTGTCTTCTGGAAATTAAGAGTTTTGAATCCAGACTTCTATGCCTTATAAAATGTACTTAGAACCAGATCAATATAAGTATTTTCCCAAACTGGGAAATCTGATAGCTTCGAATACATAAAAAATGTTATTGTGGCTGAACACTACTGTAGACCTGGGAAAATCCTGTTTTTATTTATAGCTGGGAAAATCAAGCCTGGCTTTAAAGGTAGTAGTACTAACATTCTGAAAATGCACAAGATGGCTTATGAGAGGTTCCACTTCGCTGAGCTAGAAGTTTAGGCACGCGCAATAAAGCAGACAACTATTTAAGAGGTTCAAATGTAACCCATCATGTTCGCCAGGCTGCTCAGATGTCAATGGCTGTAATTAAAAAGGGGGAGGGAGTGCGAATTTGAGGAGAGGCTACTTATTTATGCTTTGATTCAGTAATTCGACAGAGGGGCTGCCATGTTACACTGCCTCAGAGACCATGGCTGAAGAAGGCACAGCTGGAGTTTGGACCAGAAGCATCTTGCATTCAGCCTGGAATGCTGCTGACTATAAAGTGAAACAAGTAATCAGCAAAGGAGCTGGACTCTTTTAAGACCTAGGCTATTAAGGAAATAGGAATTTATATTAATGATGGAATACATACAACGTTGTCATTTGATTTTAGTCTCATTATGCTTTCCTCATTGTTTGGGCCACTGGGACACATAATCAAATCTGCTGTCAATCCTCCAGCAAGTTTAGAGTCCTGGGGCTGTATGTCGAATATGTTTGCTTCACCCTTGGCTTTATTATTTTCCTGCCCTAAATTCCAAAATCTATATATCCTATCCTGTCACGTTTTAAGTATTTTTAAGATTCCTAAAATCTTACAGATACTCAACTAAAAATAGTTTGAATGAATGACAAATAATCTCTTAGAAATCAAATAAGGTATAGAAAAACCCGTCTAAAGGAAGAGCAGCTTGCGTACGGCTTTATTATTATTAGCTTGCTATTTCCATTGTTACTCTTGGTATTTTACGCCAGCAAAATTTTTTTGTAAAGGGCCAATAGTAAATATTTTGGACTTGTGGGCCACATATGGTCTCTGTCACATACTCTTCGTAGATATTCTTGTTTTTTTTTTTAATTTGTAAAAACTCTTTAAAGATGTAAACACCATTCTTAGCGCCTCAGGGAAGTACAAAAACCAAACCGGGCCATTCTTTGCCCACCTGTTTTCTGTTAATCCATTATGAAGTTGCATAGACTCTGCCCTCAATACGCTGAACACTCTAATTGTTCCTTACTTTCTCTGGGAAATCAGTGGAGGAACCTCGTTGTTCTCATGCCCTGCATAAATGATTAGGCTCAGAAGACACTAGTGGAAGCAAGACAACTGTGATTAAGACCAACAGCAATCTCGACGACCAGTTCCCACTACTTGGGACAAAAGAATTGTCTCCAGGATGAAATAAGGAAATTGAACCGTTTCTTAAAGATCTACACAGACATTTGAAGACTTAATTAAAAAATGAACAAATTCCTGCAAAACAGTATCAATTGTCGGGGCTTAGAATGCAAATACAGCACCCTGACTTCCGGCGGAGCCCCTAGTAGCTGCCAGGTGCTGGACGGCAACCCCACCAGGGCCAGGGCGGGCAGCAGGAGAGCCGCGAGCGCCTCCCTCCGTAGAAGGCACACACATCCTTCCCCACTAACCACTCGGCTGGCTCATGCGAGGTGAGAACCTCTTGTAAAAACGGGTCCTATGAACTTTTTAAAAACTGGTACCCTTTCCACACAGAGAGCTTAAGGAAGGACCTGATAAAAATGCCTGAATGGGTTTCTGAAAAGCCAGCATTAAAATAACTCTAGACAGTAAAGTAACACTTTCAGACACCACCATCATTTCAGAGAAAAGCTTATGGTTGTGGCAGCTTTAGAAGCCTTTCAGTGGCCTGTAATTTTGTCTTCCACTCCCCACCTGTCTGGGAGTGTTCCTCTTTCACAGGACACGTCTTCATGGGCTCAACAGCTTTTCTCCCAACGGGATGAAAGAAAAGATCGAGATCGGCAATGTCGGGGCAGGCCGCGATCCACAGCACTATGGGCGGCCCCCACCCCCACCCCCACCCCCACCCCCAGCGAGCACAATGGCCAACAATCGCTGCCCAGCAGAGCCCGGGCCAGGACACAGACCGAATTCATTGTCTGTCCTCAAACACCCGAGAAGGAAGGGAAAAAAACAGCGTTGAGGTCATTCAGGAAACACTGCTGAAGCCCAAAGGCAAGCCGGTGCCTCTGAGTCTTGAACCATGCATTTCCCATACATTCCCTTTCTTAAAAAGTGCACTAATTCTTCAATGAATCTGCTTTTTAAATGCATAAGCATGCATGAAGAATAACAGACAAGAGTTTTGTAGTTTTCAACAGATAAACTGTGACTATTTCCATCAAGTTATTAAAAAATTCCACAGGTAATGTGGCTTTGCTGAAAGGTAGTGACCCTGTATTTCTTTTACTGCATATTCACACGCTTGTTAGGTATAGGATTGAGGATGTGTCATAGCAACGAAATAAATAAAAAACACAAAGTCCCCTCAAAATGATACTGTATATACTCTAAGTGGATTTTCCTCTCTATCCTCCTTTCCCACTAGTATTCTGAAAATCAAACACATGAAAATCCACTTGTTTTGATTTTTGCATAGAAACACATTAAAAGTCAATCATGAAATAAGTTATGCTGGCTAAGGTCTGGAAAGTCAAACCTTTCCAGTAAGGCTCTCACTGATTTGGTTCTCTGAGCCAAGCAGATAATTTGGGGGGATCTAATTAGGCCTTCAGCACACCCTGTTTCAAGGCAAAAGGAAAGGGTTCTGTAGGGATTGCAGAAAATAAATGAAGGCGTGGTGAGAAATCTGAGTTTCATAAATTAAATCATATGCAGCTCTAAGGGATTTCTTTCCTATCAGAGAAGATGTCTTCCAATAATAATGCACACACTGCTAGGAACTTCCTCAACTAAGATGAATAGTAAAATGAGGTTTTTTGAGAGCATTGCTTCCTAGTCTGCAGCCCCAGATGCCTGATGGCAAGTTCATCAGGCATGCTGCCCCCAGGGGCTCCCTTTCGTGGCTCTCATGGTCCCTGCTTAGAGATTTAGACATAAAAGATGGTTGTAGCCTGAACAGGCTTCTTCTACCCTCAGGAGTCGACGCTCTCAATCTTTAAGTGTGCGTGCTACTATGTTCAGAAAGCCCACACCTCTCTGTTTTTAATTATTAAACTGATGGGCAAGGGCACAAAAATCGGTTTTATTTCCTTTTCATTCCCTCAACCCCACACCCCAATTTACTCTCTTGTGGATGTTGAAATAACTGTGTCACACAGGAGGCATAGCATGGTGGAGGAGAAAGACTGAAAGGTTGTAGTTAACTTTTTTTTAAATACAAATAACATTCCACCCACAGAACAGCATTGCTTTAAGTGGTCAGCAAGGGAGATGGATTCATTTGCAAGTTCCAAATCCCCATGTAATTTCAGAATTAGAAGCGAAATATGAGGCCACTCAAAAACAGAGTTACCCTCTGATTCAGGTACACAACAGGCAATGGGACAGCTGGAAACTGGGATAACTGGGAAGGACACAGTAATACTACGCCTCAAAAGAGGAAACATAAGTTCACTTCATGGCAAGTGCACCTCTATTGCACACGTGATCATAAAGGAAGAAGGCTTCAACAGGCAGGTTATGCATGTTAAGAGCATATCAGCAAAAACCATGTCTAGTTTAAAGTGGTTAATGAAAGGGTATCTCACCGCGACCCTCCTTACCCCAGAACGACTGGGGAGACACAGGCCCCGCAAGAGGTGTTATTATCTGAAAGAGAAAATGGTTGCCCCCAGAGAGAGGGAGCAGCAGCTCGTGGGTGAGGAAGTGCGTTTTTAAGGAGTAGGGGTAGGGTGTGTTCTGCGCTGGTGATTGGATCTTAAGGGGTGGATGACCATCTGCTTGGTGGTGATTGGATCTTAACGGGTGGGGGTCTTAGTGCGCCAGAATTTGCCTTCAGTTAAGACCACCAGTAGATTTCAGGAGCCTCATTTCAAGTTTTACTTCTGTGAAGTATAAATGACATACACAGTCTTTCCACGTCAGTTGTTCTCTTCTGAATTCACAGAGCACTCACTATGACCCACTCATTTGGGCATTTAATCAATTACTTGAAGGCATGGATTCTGCAATTACTTTTAAATTTTGTATTTTCCTCCCAGCATAAAAATCATAGCTAATATTTTCCTGCCCTTGGACGCTGTTTAGATTGTTTACCGTTTCCTGGTAAGTTTCTCCTCCTGCCTTCACCCTCCCTTAAATCACTGAGGAGCTAGTCACTCAAATAACTGAGTATAATGCTCCAAATCTTTTCAGGAAGCAGATGTTTAAATACATTAGTATGTTTTCTCAGATATTTTCAATTTATCTGACCTTTGACCAACTACAGTTATGCTCCCTTTTCACTTGTTCAACTGTTCTGTAGCTGGATTTCCTATTGGAGAGAAGGAGTTCTAAATTCTGCACCTACCTGTAATTCCTCCAGCTTAACACTCTAGCCATCACGTTCAATTTCCCATTTTTCTTGTCTAGCCCCATCCCTAAACGTTGGGTCCTGAAAAACAGTATAATCCTTCACCATCTGTAGAACAGTTTTAGTATGAAAATTCCTCTCTGGACCTTTACTTTGTATATTTTCCCAGCACAGCGACGAACCCAAAGGGGATTTGTACACCTTACCACGAACCTACCTTCAGTTATGCCTATCCCCAGTCACTAACCGACAATCTTTTATGATAGTTTCTATTCGCATTGCCGTCCCAAAGGGGCTGTTACTTTTATAAACCGTATTAGTATAAATTGTATTTTTAAAGGTTATCCCCACCTCACAATGCATAGGGAACCCGTAAAATAACCCCAGAGGCGTCCTGTTATTAATATTTGGTATAGACTTTCAAATAACGTTCTGACTTAACGTGCAAAACAGCTGAATATGGAATCGAGCCTGTAAAACAACTTTAAAAATCATTCCTGAAAAAAATTAAATTGTTCAGAAGCGTCTGATCTGTACGAAGTACTCTCAGGATTTCGGAGCTAAATGGTACTCTGGTTCAACTACATGGCTTCCGGTTCAACTCCCCTTAACTACTGAGGAAGAACAGTGGGCGAAGACTTTCTCTACCTCCACAAGCAAGGCGCGTAAAAGCCCACAGGTGCCAAGTGTGCAGATAACTTCCGCCAAAACTCTGACCTCTCACACAGGGAAGAGAAGGAAAACCCCTATTTTTGAATAGAAGGGCTCAAATCCTACACATCTCTTAAGGATGAGGCTGCCCTGAGCGATCTTCTGTTCAGAGACTGGGCTGGATGGGCAAAGTCCGAATTCTCCTTCCAGACCTAGCTTAATTAACAGTGTTACTCAGCATGTCAGCGCCACATGGGGAGCTTTAATAAAAATACCGATTCCTGGGCTCCACTTCCAGAGGTGCAAATTTAATTGGTCTGGGATGGGGCCCGGGCATTAGAATTCTTAAGTCACCCAGCAGTTCTGACGCACAGCACAGCTGACAGCCTCTGGAACCAGTCCCCTCTCACAATTAACCAGCAACTAATTAGGAGTCTCGTGGGCCCCTGGCCGCACCTTTTGCTGCGGGATGACGATAACTGCAACAACCTGACGGTCAAGCCCTGGGCTCTCTCGGTCTCAGAGGAAGCCAGGCTCCGGGGCCTCCAGGCCCTTCCCTCACTCCCCAAGGGAAACCCAGCCGTCCCCGGAGTCACCTCGTGGACGCGGAGCCTGCAGATCCCCAGCGGTGGGCGAGCAGAGCTTTACTTCCTTTAGGGTACTGAAGGGTACTGAGCACGAGGGGCTGTTAACCCTGCAACTGAAAGCGAGTTTCCGGCGCGGATCCTGTGACGCGAACGCCGGCAGTTCCCTACGTGCCGCCCTGACGTCACGTCGCGCGGCGATTTGCGTCACGTGGGGACCTGGGGCGCGATGAGGATCCGCCTCCCCGGGGGCACTGTGGGGATGGCGGTGGAAGGCCGTGGGAAGGCGGGGG